TGTATGTATGCATGTGCAAACATGCGAATTCGAAATGATCATTACAAGTAATCATAAAAGAGGAGAAATTGGTCCAAGGTCATCAAGGCTTAGTGACCTTCTCGTTTTGACTCCCGGAGGGTAATAATTACATTTATGTAACTTCAAAATGTGTAGCTTAGTTAGTTATCCTTATTATATAAGTAAAGAATATATGATATCAGCTTCCTCTAACGAATAAAAATTCTAGAGTATGGCTCCATGAAGCAAATCACAGAGATAAAGATATATGAAGACCAAAATGGTGTAGCCTCAGTTTTGGTTGAGGCCTCGATAATTACTCTTGACTTATTCCAGCAACAGGGAACTTTCGAAATGCATACCCTATACTGCCTCCTCTGTCGTTTTTGTCATGTTTTCTTCCAGCAGCGAACTTTTGAAGACTACCAGTAAACCTGTTGGTTTCCTGTAGCTACACAAACGATAGTAAAAAATTACAGTTAAAAAAATGTACCATTGATTATTTCATTCTTGATGAAAATTAATCCAGTATAATTGGGCATTCATATTTTCCTAAGTGCCCAAAATACAAAACCTGGCAATAGGGCTACGTTTTTGCAGGTTATGAATGGTGTAGATAGAATTTATGAAAAAAATTGGAGGTTTATCCTACATGCAATATATACCCATATTCAAAAAGGAAAAAATATATTTGTACGTGAACAAAAGTTGGGCTTTAACGAGTCCCTTGACTTATAATAGTTGAGTTAATTTCCATTTCAAGTGAAAGTATTTGACCAAGAGACGCGAAGATCGATCACACCAGAAGATGATGGTGGATTATCCTCGACCAACTGTTGATTGCTTTTGTTGAAACATTCATGTTGACGCTATTTCCGAGGCAATCTTCTTCGATTCCGGTGAAAACGTGCTAAGCTTTCGTCCGCCGTATGACGGATATCATCAGAGCGGGCGTCATCCTTACAATTATATTCAAGTTATTAAGTCAAAAAAAACGCACCTAACGGACGAAAGCTCAGAACATTTTAACTGAAATCGAAGGAGATTGTCTCGTTAACAGCCCCAATATGAGTGTTCAAGTTAAGCCAATTAATAGATGGTCAAAAGGAATCTGTAGTCGACTTGATTGATCGACTTTGATTGCCTTCACCAGAGACTTTCACTCTAAATTAAAGTGAGACCAACAATTATATATTCATAAATGTACATAGTATGATTTGGTTAGTTTTCTTTTATGTCGATTAGGGTATTTATATTTTTGTATGTTTGTGTGTGCATTTGCACCTTTACGCA